TTCGACTTCACACCTTTTGCGTCTGCTTTGTTTTTGTAATTAAACGTTCCGCACCTGCTCTGTTTTATTGTCGAAAATTGCAATTTGCCATCGGCAACATGCAATGTTGCAATTTCTACATTTTTACGCAAAACGCCATCCACAAAGCACCGTGTGACGCTCCAGCGCCTTTCTTTTACGCTAAAAATACTACTTCTCATCCTACGTCACACTACCTATGTATGTGCATGTAGGTACATTAATACGGCTCAGCATACATTGTGTATGAGAGTGAGTACGTATGTGTGCGCGGACATGCTTGAATGTGTTTTTCTTTTCCTCATATGCCAGACAGCACTCCTTTTTGGGCCTTCCAACAATATTTATTTACACAATGAGCGACATTAACATTCTGGAGAAGACCCTGAAGCAATAAAAACCAAAGGACATTAACAACAAGAACTTTCGAACAAAAAGCAAATCGTTAAATCGTAAAGCCGAAGAAAGGTGGTGGCTAAAACAGCACACGTTGGGATTACAGCAAAAAAAAAGTAATAATAATAATAAAGTAAAACAAAAAACAAGAAAAATAAAATATAAACACAAAAGCAACAATAATACATTAAGAAGAAGGAGAATAAGAGAACTGTTTCATTTATAAATGACGCCGGCAGGGATTTAGAAGGAGTAAAACTCTTTTGCTGCTTTTGAAGCGCATAAAAATGGGTACATATTGTAAAACAAACGAACGACCAAATAGGCGCACGAATGAACAAATGAATGAGTGAATATGCAAATAAAGGTTGCGAAGTAATGAAGTATTGAATTGCAAGAAATAGCATTGGACGAGCGCGCCGCCGACAAATGAGGACATGTGTTTGACGATAAAATACACATGTTTCCTGGACTCAAACCCTCTTCCTGTGTCTTCCGGCGGCAAACATTTTTCCGTATATTTTGTGCCATTTCACTGCAACCTTTTTAATGCGTCTTTTGTTGTTCGCTGTTGCACTTGCAACTTGAAGTTTTTGAAGTTGAAAAGTCTACTTGTTGAAAAATTGTTCTATGAAAAATTCATTATCGTCCTTCGAAATCATATTATTCGTGTTTTGAGTTCCTTGATATTTATGTGTTTATGTGTATATATATTTGCGCTCTTAACGCTTTTGTAAAGGTAAAGTAATATAAAACATTGCAATTATTTTCTAAGCAATTTATGCTTTTGGGGATAACTGTGTTTTTTTTGTTTTTTTTTTTTTGAAATGAGCAGATAGAAATATACTTATTTGTTTACTTCTTTGTTAACTGGAAATAATTATTGTGTTGGGTTGTGTGAACGGATATCCATACATGAATTTGTATGTATTATGTGTGCGCTGGAAGGTGAGCTGGACAAATGTATTAAATAAACGAGTATTGAATGCGCCTCGATCGAGGTATTCACTTATTTTTTGAAAATCAGTATTTTATACACATTTTCGTTTTTTTTTTATATTTAAGATAATTCTAATCCTGAGTAGAAATAATAATTTAAATGAATTTTTTTATATTCTTATTTTCTTTTAGTTCTTTTTTATTTATTTTTATATTTTTGTTTTATTTTTTTCAGTTTATCTTGTGTTATTCTATATAGTTTTACTTAATTTTATTTCATTTTGTTTTATTTTATTTTACTGTATTTTAATTAAATTTTTTATTGTAACTTTTATTATTTGATTTTAATTTAATCTATTTCGCTTTAATATAATTTTATTTTATTTTGTTTAAATGTATTTTATTTTATTTTATTTTATTTTATTTTATTTTATTTTATTTTATTTTATTTTATTTTATTTTATTTTATTTTATTTTATTTTATTTTATTTGATTTCATTTTCTTTATTTTATTTTGTTATTTTTTATTTCGAGTTGTTAATTAATGTCAATTTTTTAACTTATTTTTCTTTTATTTTTTATTTTATTTTAGTCAACTTCATTTTTTGTTATATAACTCTTTTTTATTTCAAAATTTTATTTCATTTTATTATATTTGATTTTGTTTTGTTCCATTTTATTTCAAGTTATTTTAATTTAATTTATTAAAATTTTTGTTTTATTTTTTTTATATTTTTTTATCTGATATCATTTGTTTTTTTCTTTAATTTATTTTATTTTAATTTATTTCATTTAAATTAAATTTAGTTTATTTACTTTTCTTATATTAATTTTTTATTACATTTTATTTTATATTATTTATTTTTTGGATTTGAATTTTTTATTTATGTTTCGTTTCACTTTATTTATTTATCAGTGCTTTGTCACTTACATATGATAGTAAGTACATCATAATGAACAAAATTGATATTAAATAATAATGAAAATTCTTCTTTTAAAAAGCTTTGACTGAATTGTTTGAGAAGAGTTAGTTTTTTTTCGTGTTATTAATATGCGGTTACAAAGTCACCGCATCTTTTCCAAGCGTATGAGACTGCAATAATTTCTTTTCAACACATTCATAGGTACATAGATAGCCTTGTGTTAGCTACGTGTATGTATGTAAATGTCGCATATACGAGTATATTGGGCTTGAATCAATGTTTTTAAACTCTATCTGCTCCTTATGCACGATGGAATTTGCTTACCTTCATACATACATATATGTAAACATAACATACACGTTTGTTTGTGCATATACAGTTAAATAATGAAAGCAAAAATAAAATCAAAGCAAAGGTGCTTATGAAAATCCATATCATCATCTACAAAAGGGTCTATGTGTGGTTGAGTGTGAACGTATATAACAGTACTTTAAGAATCGCATGCACGCACAAAGGATCATCTGAAGTATCACACTTCTTCATATGTACCGCACGAGTATGTACATACATATGTGAGTGTATTGCAAGTGTGCACTTATGCGCTTTTATATACACACAACATGGGAGCCTCAAGTATCAGCTTTAACATTTTAAGTATTCATGCATAAACACATACATACATATGTTCATACATATACAAACACAAATACAATGTGTTTATCCTCTGCGCACTCACTCATTTGTATGAACTTTCATCAGAATTGAAGTGTTGTTGCTTGTGCGCTTAGGTTGTCGATTTATTTATGCGTTTCGTATTTAATGACTTTGTAGGAATTGACAGTTGTGACAACATTTTGAAGTGTTTGTTGAAGTGAAAGTAATAGAAAGTCAAAATCTTGAGCCACAAGAGCATACACTTATTTTTTCTGCTAAATAATAATCAAAAGTCTTGTGATTTATTTATGGCATTAAAATGGAAAAAAATTGAGCAAAACAAAAAAATAAATATCAAAAAACAAATGGAAAGGTGCGCTGCACAAATAAATCTCAGTAAAAGTCTTGCAATCTACATTTCTAATTAAAACGCATCCGTGATTTTAGCAGAGTTTAAAAACAGTATGCCACTCACTCCTTCTTTTCGTTTTTGGAGCCAATTAGATATATTGATGAGTGCATAAGTTCATGCCCGATTTCAAGTGCAAACTAAAGTTGAAATTTTTTGAAGAAAGCGCTTTTATTAATCAATTATGTATTCGCCATCATGTTCGGCAATCCACTCCCAACGTTCAACCAATTTACGGATGCCTGATTCATAGAAATCGCGCGGTTTCTCTTTGAAAAAGGTGTCAAGGTGGTTTTTGACGTCTTCCACATTTTTAAATTTTTTTCCATTCAAATTTTTCTGCAGCGATCGAAACAAATGATGATCAGAAGGTGCAATGTCGGGTGAATATGGGGGATGCGGCATGATTTCCCAATTCATCTCCTTCAGTTTGGCCTGGGTCGGTTTTGCAACATGTGGCCTGGCGTTGTCATGATGGAAAAGAACTCCTTTGCGATTGGCCAAAATCGGACGTTTTTCCTCAATTGCTTTCTTCAATTCGACCAATTGCTGACAATACTTGTTGGCAGTGATCGTTTCTCCACCTGGCAAGAGCTCAAAATAGATCACGCCTCGGATATCCCACCAAATGCACAGCAGTACCATCACCGGATGCAATCCACCTTTCGACATCGGTTCCGCCCCTTCGTGTGCCTGTTTCCATGTTCTTTTGCGTTGAACTTTGTTGTACATGACCCATTTTTCATCACCAGTCACGAGCCGATCCAAAAAAGGTTCGTTTTTGACCCGTCGAAGCAAAGAAATTGCTGTTGACATACGGTCCACTTTTTTTCACTCAACTGATGTGGCACCCATGTATCGAGCTTCAAAATGTACCCAACCTTTATTAAACGACGAAACGCAGTTGATATGTTGACGTTCAATTCTCTGGCAACCTCTTCCGTCAAAATACGTGATTTATTCGCAACTAAAGTCCTTAGAACATCGTCATCAAGCTCAGAAGGTCGTCCACTGCGAGGTTGATCTTCGAGGTTGAAATCTCCAGAACGAAATTTCGCGAACCATTTCTTTACTGTGCGGAGGGCTGGAGCACGGTCCAAATAAACTTCGCGAATATCTTTAGTTGCAGCGTCTACTGTTTTTCCTTTGCAGAATTCGTATAACAAAATGCGTCTTTCATGCGTCTTTTCACTAAGCAACTCAAATCAAAATGAAGTTATTTTATGCTTGATTTACAGTTCGGACTGCCACCTTTCCAACGATATATAATATTGTATGTATATATTTCTTTCACGAGCGCCACTCTCAAACGATTCGAACGGCATCCAGCGGAATCGGGCACGAACTTATGCACTCATCCAATACCACGTGAAGAAGGGAGCGGATGTACTCGTCTTCTTCTGCTTCCAAAAACGGGGTCTGCATCGGCTCCTGAAGCAATTTTATCCGCCCTGACTAGCATACTCTATGTCTCTTTTTTTACTTAACCACGTCAACGTTGTCACCTATCTCGCACAGTTCATCGTTCCGTTGGCAGCATTATAGCCGTTACTGTTGGAAATCAACAAAATAGGCTTTGTATATTTTGTATTCAATATAGTATAGAAATAGTTCACATTGAAATAAATGCTCATTCGTTCGAGAACAGTCAACCGAATCGATTTCATTATTTCCAATAGTTGCCAATGAGTAAAGAACCATAAAGCTTCCCCTAAACATAACGTTAAAGTAATTTCAGATGTTGCCAACCTCCATGCACCGTATAGCAAAACGCGAATGATTAGAGGTTTGTAGTGTTTGGCGCATGCTGGTGGATTTCAAAACTGACATTGTTGTTGGTGTTAATCCCTGCTCCAGAATAGACGAAACTATCAACAATTTCAAAGTTATGACTGTCGTGGAAGTCAATTCGATGACTGTTTGTTTGATGACAGGAGATATTTTGTCTTATACTCGTTCAATACCAGATCCCTACGCTTCACTGCCTTATCCAGTATGGAGAGGTCCTAGAAGACTATACTGCCGTCTGGAAACTTTAAGTAAGTCACCGTATCCTTTCGCCAGCTTCTCAAGCTCATTACGCATTACATTCAAATCTCGTCTTATATAAACAGCTAGGCTTGAAACACATCATCACAACGTGCGAGTTTTTTGATCCTGAGACAAGTAATGATATTGATGAAATTTCTGGAATCTAGTACTACAGACATTATGCGCGTAAGTTGATTAGCCTCAACCCATTTGGGATGTTTTGTTAAAGAGGCAAAATTTTTCGATAGTTGTGGCGAAGATACTTTCTCCTTCCACGCTGTCGTTAAAGTCGCCAGGCACACTATTAAATTCATGACGGAGGCTGCGCTCGTAAAAGACATCTAGGGTCACAACGTTCTTATCTCTTTCGTAGCGTGACTGCTGTAAGCAGCTTAAATAGCATGAAAATAAATTTTAAAATTCCTACAAACTTTTAAAAATATATAAAATACACATAAAAATGTATAAATTATACAAGATCCGTTTATAAATATGTAAACTTCATGAAATTCTGCTACAAATGCTGTTTGTGACAATCCGGTTGATCAAATTTATTTCCAAAGCTCTGCACGTAAAATATTAAGCGAAATGCAAATATTCCTCCACAGACATTCCGATTTTAACAAAAGAATATGCATATGCTTGCACAAGTCAACGAAAATTACCATTGCAACAGAAATATGTATGTATGATTTTTAGATTTTTAAATATATGCATATACAACATTAGGGTAGCACAAAAGTAAACAAGAAAATTGATTTGTTGTGATATATTTTGTATATATTTTTTGTGTCTTTTTCATAATTATTTTATCACGCACGTTTTGCACTAAAACGAATACAAATTAATTATAATTTTTTTTTTTAATATCTATAATTTAATATGTATAATTTTTTTAATTATATTTGAAATTTCAATTAAAACAAGTTATTTAAAATTATTTGGCTGATTATTCTATAGAAACCATGGACTAGCCGGCGTGCTCTGCGGATTTAAGTCTCACAGAGAACATGTGGTGCAGATGAGTGAGCAGGGTTCATGAAAATAATCGTCAATTTGACATTACATTGACCTTGAGACTGCAATTATAACACAATGGTCTGACCTGTATATCTTTCTTTTGAATAAATTTAATCAATGGATGGGATAAATTTTGTTGGCCGTTGCAAGAGCCAAAGGCACATCTGTTGGTTATTAGTGAGTAATAACAGGTGGTGAAAAGCCTCAGGGAAAATGTTTACTTATACTATGCAAGACGTTATCAGAAGTTGAATGTAGACGTTAAACCGTGGATTTCGGCATCATTTGTTTTGCATGCTTAGCTCATATTAGATACTGAGGACATTACTTCGTTTTTTGCTCAAAATTGATTTTTAGCATTTTTTTTTAATCTTGATATGTGGCCATATCAAGTCAAAGACAAAGAATTCATGTTTGGCCTCAACAACACAAACATTACCTTTCGTTGGCTATTTTTCACCGTTTCGGTCCACATATATTGTTTGGATTTGCAAAAAAATTTATTTAAATATATATATATGAATTTGGAAAGATAATTTTCAAGCAATGAAAGGCGATTTCCACATCTTTGACTATCGTTTAAATCAATTTTCTTATTTTTGGTGTCTCATCGATGGGTGCATTCAGTGAACTGAGCGCTCAGTAAACATGCTCAGTGAGCGCTTAACATATTTGTGAGCGTTTGTCTGCTACTTGCCGCTGATCGGTCAACTGCTGTAAATCAAAAAAAGGATCGCGAAATTTTAAAAGTGTTTGTGATGCGATTCACCACATTTTTTGGGTGTCAAATAGATTTGTTTCAGCCAAATGCACTAGATGAACAGTTTTTCAAGGAAATGTATTCAAAAAAACCAAATATTCCAAAAAATTGTATGAAGAAACTTTGCCACGGTATACAGATGGCCAGTTTGCGGAACATTTCAGGATGAATACATCGACATTTCAAGTAAGACATAATTTTGCATAAAATACTTGTAAATATATAATTTTTTTCATGACGAAAACTTAACTTCAGTTGAGGAAGCAGTAAGTTAATGAAACTTAATGACTCAGTAAAAGCGCTCACTGAACATGTTTACTGAGTGCTCAGTTCGCTGAACGCACCCAATGGTACATTGCGCAATCTTAAATCTTTATGGTTTACGTAAGATATTTTTCTCCAATATTTTGTTTGATACTGGATCGGAAAGGAATGTTGGGAAACCGACCTGTTCTACCATTCCTTTTTCCCCCTGCGGGTTGGGAGTTCAAGAATTTGAATTTTGAACATTGGGTTTTCCTCGGACGAGACCAGTGCGTTAGTCTACAGCTATGGCAGTTGCTGTGGCTCAATTATTTTTAACTTGCGCCTCTTCAATTCGCAGCAGAGTTGAAGCATGAATAATATCTGGTTTCATCATGCCCAGACATGACAAGCTTTATTTCTTCCCTTCATCCAGTCCAAAAGATTGGAATGGTAAGATTCTCATTTCAAATCCTGATCACAAAAATTTGTTTGGGTTCGATGATGCGTAAGATGCTGCACTGCGTTAGTTAACTACAATGGAAGCTGTTTTATCATATTTAAACAACCTGCAAAATGTTTGTTTTTTTTTTTCAAAAAGTTTTATTAAAAAAAAATAAAACTAAACAAAAATGTCGAAACTCTTTATGGCACAAAATATTAATATTTTTAAAATTTTTTTTTAATTTATTTTAAATTTGTCTGTATTTATAGTTGTAATATATGAAATTTAATAACACTGTATTTTTTCATGTTTAACCAGGACTCGAACCGTGGACGTTGCGTATGCTAGCATGCACCGCTACCCGCTTGGCGGTATTAAACTTTATTAGCTATAAATTCATAAAAATTATAAGAAAAGTAAGTAAAATATAAAAAAAATTATTTAGGGCACCGAACGAAACAGCTGCGCGTTTAGAGGTTTACAAATTTTTTAAAATAATTTTGACAAGCAGAATCTAAAAAAACACGAGAAGCATGATCCTTATACCAAAACAAAAAGGATTTCATTGCCATCGATGAATTTTTGTTATGAGGTTATAATCTTTAAATTTTTAAGAAATATATTAAATTTGCGAAGTATATTAAAAGAAATGAATTTCGAAAAAATCCAAGTAATTTTTTAATCTTCTGCAAATTTTTAGCGAAATAAAAATTCATCGCCCCACCCAATACACTTACATATGTACATATGAGTGTAAGGAACTGTGCATATCATCTTTGGCAAAAACTCATACACCAACCAAAGCACACAATCAACAAAAACATGCTGCGAAGAAACCAACAACTAGTAAACGACGAAGGAAGGCGACAGAAATGCAAAAAAGAGGGTAATGTCACGTGATGCTGCGATTATTTGCACAACAAAAGATGCTGTAAACTGAATTTTTACATTAAGGGTGTATTCACACGCTTACATACGTATATACATGCATATGCAAATCATTTGCTGTGTTGGACGCTACATGTGACACAACAAATTTGCAGCATACAATGGCCTATGTAGTCCTTTGTACTTACATACATATGAAAGAGCAACTGTATATATGTACGTGTATGTATTTTTATTTAGCATGCAATCAAGGCGCTGCCAAATGCAATTGAATAGCAGCAGCGCATAAACAAACTGGGGAAAAACTTGTTTTGCAAAAAATATTATCGACTTACCATAAATCTAGAAAAGAAATCATACGGAAATCGCAGAAAATAACAGTTGATAGTTCTTGTGATTTTGGCTTGTTTTTTCTGTAGCGAATTTAAATTTTACATTATTTTTTATTAAATATCAATTTAAGCAAATAATTTATAATTTATATTTGCATAAAATTGAAAGCTGTAATTACCAGGATTGAGCGATCAGATTTAGGTCAAATATGCGCAAAACACGAGACACAGATTAATATATATATATATATATATATATGGAAACGTAAAGTACCCTTGTGCAAAATGCGGTAACCAACCCGTGACACGGCTAAAATTAAGGAAGCTTCAGTGAAGCCACAACAGCAAGACCATAATCCGTGATGTGGCGTGATCGAAAAGGCCTTCTATGAAAGCCTGGAGCATACTCATTACCGTTGCCCCGCCGGGATGTAAAAATCGACTTTAACCCCAGGCCCGAAATATGGTCATCTGTAGTACTTGATTCCAGCGCAAGGAATTTAATCAAGCCTCTTGGCTGTCTTCAGATCGAACGTTGTGATAAACAGATGGCATGTCTTAAATGTTAAAGAGGTGCATACACCCCGAGAACCCGACATCAACTCGGACCACTACCTTGTTGCGGCAAGAATGCTGCAAAGAACTCACGTCCGAAAACACAAAGAAAACTCTGTGATCACAAAAGACGGCACAACGGGTTTCTTCTCTACATGCACTACGGCTCTCCGAGAGCACTCATCAGAATCTATAGGACGGCGTTTCAAGCTCCATTCAAACAGCAGTAAATGAAACACAAGTCAGAGTCGCAAAGCTTCTGTAGAGAGAAAACAGACTGTCTGAATGGAATCGATACCGATAATTGAATAAAGAATATGTGTGTAAGGACAAAAACAACAGTGGGCGATATGCGTCAGCGTGAAGAGCTTTAGAAGCTGGTCATCGATATAATGCTCGAGAATTCTACTAAAATATGCATTTCTAAGGGAAATTTCAACACCTAGAGAGCTGACTTAGTGACTAATGCAAAACGTATACTGAATTTATCAGTGAAAGTGTTACACAACAAGTATGAAGAAGGTCAAATATCAATAGTCCTCTTGAAAAGCAACAAAGCAGCGGGGGCTGATGGATTGCCGACTGAACTGTTCTAATACCACAGTGAAGAACTGTTAAGATGCAGAATACCGATTGAGTTTGCTCTGCCCATTCCATGGAGGACCCGCAGTCTGCGCCAATTACTGTGGAATAAGTGTCCTTTTTATCACATATTAGGTCCACTCAAGGTTATTGTGTATAAAGCTAACGCTCGGTGTTAACAAACTGATTAGACCTCATCATTGTAGATCTAGATCTGGTAAATCAACCATTCAGCATAAGCCAAATTAAGGAAAAAACCACTACTTCGTCGATTTTAAAGCAGTCTTCGGCAGCAAGAAAGGAACTGCATCTTATCTGAATTTTTTAAGGATCGGGAAGTCGTTCGATACCAAACGAGATTTCAGACAGAGAGATTGCTGTCGTGTGTCATTTTTAATTTATTGCTGGGGAAAACAATTAGTGATACAGAGCTCTATAAAGAAGGTACAATTTTCTACAAGAGTGTACAGCTGCAGGGGTATCCCGATGAGAGTGACGTCATTAGCTTCAACAACTGCGCCGTGAGTTCTGCTTTCTCCAGACTGGATAAGTAGAGGCATTTCATGTCAATGTCATTGTGTTTACTAAGCAACTAAACGTCCCTTCGGCGATTTTTATAATGTCTTTGGCTGCTGAAACGTTGCGGATGCTACAGAAAGCCTTTGAGGTCTCAACTATGCTGCAGAAGACTGTTGACTGTTATCTTCGACTATGTTGACTATGAATTGCTTCCGCCCGGCCGAACGGTAAATAAGGAATATTTTTTAAGAATTATGCGTCTTATGCAAAGAAAAGACCAGAATTATGGGCCAACAATTCTTGGTTTTTGCATCACAATTATGCACCGTCGCATATAGCATTCGCCGGACATGGTGCTATGTGACTTCTGGCTCTTCCAAAAACTCAAGGGTCCACTTCGAGGACATTTGAGTCGATTGAGGAGATTAAAAGCGAATCGGCGCGATTTATGAAGGCCACACCAGAACGTGACAGTTTGACATGCTTCGATAATTGGAAAACCGTTGGCATAAGTGCATTGCATTGGCAGGGTACTATTTTTAAGCTGAAAAAAACGGTGTAAAAAAATAAATAAAGGTTCTTACCGCTGAAGCGATTTTCCGGCCTCCTCCAATTTGTGGTTTTGCGTCTTGATGTTTTATTAACATACGGAGTTTATACTAAGCCGCCTCCGAACGGCTGACGGTTTTATCTAAATTTGCTTGGATTTTTCACAGAGAAGTATTAAAAATACTTCCTTAAAAATAATGAGTATCATTAAATTACGTGATGAAACAATTATTATTCATTAGAATTTTTTCTGTATAAAAAGTAAAATCGTCGTTTAGCTTCTTCCACCCACTAAATAAATATATGTACATGTGTTTTTTTATACATTATTCTTAACAAATCAAATATATTCCAAATAACTATCCAAAAAATTAACACCCGCCGGACATTTATCATACAGTTTCATACAATCTGCGCCAGCTGCACCAGCTTCACGCGCCGCGCTGTAACGCTTGTCCAAATCTTCCCGACCTGGCCTACAGAAAAAGATAATGTGCATATATTTGTATTTATTACCACTAAAAATACTATATACAAAATAAAACCACTCACGTTAATACAACGTCTAAAATTTCCGACAACAGGCCAACATGTTGATCGACTTGCGCATTTTGACAAATGGAACGCAGCAAACACTGTTGTCCATGCAAGCCACGTCGACTCATTAAAGTCTCTAGCAGCGTGTAGAAAAACAAGCGAGACTCATCAGCCTCATAATTATTTGCATCCAATTCTGCACGATTGGCATGTAAAAGCCGCGACTTGCGCGCAAAGGTGTCCTCCCATTTGTCCCATGGGTAAAGTGGTTCACTGGGTATTGAATAATGACCGCCCTGCAAGCTGTAGGAGCAGACCAACGAACGCCAGGTGATCGGATCGGCTAGGTCGACTTGACCGGAGGGACCGATGGATAGCTATGAAGGAAATATATTTTTCTTTATTTATTTTTTTATTTTAATAGATTTTTTCATTATTAGATTTAGAGTGCGAAACTGAAAATGGCCCACTCTGTTTGACAATGAGTGTTAAGCAGAGTAGTCCCATATTAAAATATTCACAGAATTTGAGCAGCTAGAAAACTTAAAATAATTTATATTTCAAAAACCCACTTTTCGAAACCCAGTTTTCTATTGTGCATTGAAAGGGAATCATTTCTTTGTAAACTTCCGTGGCTACTTTTTAAAAATCCAATGAACCATTTTAAGCTCTAGCTGAGTGTTTCCAAAATATCACTGAGTCCTAGTATGGTCACATATGTTTCAAAATTTTTTGTTTCGAACATTAGATTTCACTATATTGCCGCCAGTCAAGAATAGCAATTCGTCACAAAAATATGGTTCATTCACCTTAAGTTGACCACTCCCATTGAATATCAGGCCTCTTTTCTTACGGACATGCATGAAGTCCGTTAAATTCGCACCGACATTAATCCTCTGCACACTAGCACTAACACAATATATACGCAGTAGAAAGCATGACAAAAGTATTTGTATTAATTTCATGGTCCATGCAAACGGGCAAAAAAGTCAGAGAGAGCTTGATAACTGAACCAAAATGTACCGAACTGTTAGTAACGTAGTTAGTAAGTAGAAATGAACCCAACTGCCAGCTGAGCATTGCATTTATATTTATTCTAAAAGAATTTTAGTTGAGTAAAAATATATAATATACACATATTTGTGTGTGCGCACATTGTAACTGCCGAAAATGCTCGTCACAGAGCAAATATTGGATTTACAATTAGCATTTGGAAGAACTACAATCACTCTTGAATATTTCCACTGGATGCTGTTCTACTTATTTAGTGTCAAAGTTATGGTTATAAGATATTCATACGTGTATATGCGCGTCGACATATATAATTATATATAAAATAATATTAAGTAAAAACGTGACAATTTCTAAGTAACTCTATTTGTAAAGTGTATGTAAATTCTGAAATCGTGTTATCTCATTTATGAGTTAAAATTTCAATAGCAATAATCGTGATTACAAATTGTATATCTAAAATATAAACGATAAGGATGCACATATAAAATGACAACAACAATTATTCTGCCTATATGCCTACTCAGTTTCTATTTTAACTCCTACGCATTTTGAAATGATTTGCATTTCCTTATTGGAGTCTATTAATTATGTAAATAAACGCAGAGCCAACTTAAATTTATTTAACATTGAAACTAAAACTAAAATTAAAATTAAAATTAAAATTAAAATTAAAATTAAAATTAAAATTAAAATTAAAATTAAAATTAAAATTAAAATTAAAATTAAAATTAAAATTAAAATTAAAATTAAAATTAAAATTAAAATTAAAATTAAAATTAAAATTAAAATTAAAATTAAAATTAAAATTAAAATTAAAATTAAAATTAAAATTAAAATTAAAATTAAAATTAAAATTAAAATTAAAATTAAAATTAAAATTAAAATTAAAATTAAAATTAAAATTAAAATTAAAATTAAAATTAAAATTAAAATTAAAATTAAAATTAAAATTAAAATTAAAATTAAAATTAAAATTAAAATTAAAATTAAAATTAAAATTAAAATTAAAATTAAAATTAAAATTAAAATTAAAATTAAAATTAAAATTAAAATTAAAATTAAAATTAAAATTAAAATTAAAATTAAAATTAAAATTAAAATTAAAATTAAAATTAAAATTAAAATTAAAATTAAAATTAAAATTAAAATTAAAATTAAAATTAAAATTAAAATTAAAATTAAAATTAAAATTAAAATTAAAATTAAAATTAAAATTAAAATTAAAATTAAAATTAAAATTAAAATTAAAATTAAAATTAAAATTAAAATTAAAATTAAAATTAAAATTAAAATTAAAATTAAAATTAAAATTAAAATTAAAATTAAAATTAAAATTAAAATTAAAATTAAAATTAAAATTAAAATTAAAATTAAAATTAAAATTAAAATTAAAATTAAAATTAAAATTAAAATTAAAATTAAAATTAAAATTAAAATTAAAATTAAAATTAAAATTAAAATTAAAATTAAAATTAAAATTAAAATTAAAATTAAAATTAAAATTAAAATTAAAATTAAAATTAAAATTAAAATTAAAATTAAAATTAAAATTAAAATTAAAATTAAAATTAAAATTAAAATTAAAATTAAAATTAAAATTAAAATTAAAATTAAAATTAAAATTAAAATTAAAATTAAATTAAAATTAAAATTAAAATTAGAATTAATGCTTAACAGGCTTGAATTTGGTATTCTAGCCCACATTACATTGTCGACCATGTCAACTTACATTTGCAAGTTGGTGAAGTAGAAAAGTAATGAAAACGGTATCCTCCAAATTGAAAGGGTAATTTTTTTTGGCAAACTTCTTAATATGCGCCTTTTGCACTTTTTTCTTCATTTTCAATTAATTCCAGGCGTAAAATACGCCTACACATTTTGGTTTTTATTTTTCTCAAACAAACAACATAAAATAAAACAGCAGATTATTTGTTACCTCTTATTTCACGGGTAACATAATTTACATGGTGACAATGCTCAGAACACGAAATAGTAAAAATAGTAACAAATTTATGGTAATTAATTAATTTATTTTATTAATATAAAAGAAAATAAATAAAGCTGGTTGTACCCTGCAGCTCTTTTGGTTTATGGAATGAACCGAGCCAATCAAATGTCTGCTCGGTGACGCTTGGTTCTTTTCTGAAAATTTTTATATTTTAATCCAAACCATGGAAACGATGTTAATCTTAGCAAAATTCCAACCTAGTGCCGAATTTTAAGTAAACTGGCAGACAAAAACCATTTTTTTTAAAAAGTTCAGTCCTCTCCCGGAGAAAGGAGTTGCCAGATTTCTTTTAAATTGGTTGGTTCCAGGTCCATTTTCCATAGAAAAGTGTAGTATCATTGTTAATCTAAGCAAAAAGCCACCAATGTACCGAATCTTAAGTAAATCAAACAGTAAATAAGACTTCTTCGAATAGGCCAGTCCCTGATCCCAGTTTCGTAAAAACCTTCCCAAGAATCACAGAAGCAATCTGATGATATTTTAAGTCAACCAGTCGGTAACTGGAGATTTTTGGAGATTACTGGGTTATTCCAAATGGACATAAGATTTTTATATTTGTATGTAGTTTAAGATAAAACAAAAAAAAATTAAATCGAAAGGAGCAAGCAAGTTATGCCGCTCAATGAATAGTTATTCCAAGCAACATTATATTCAACCCCTTCCCATTTTATATTAAATGTAATAATTTTTTGGCAAGCTGAAAGCCAAGTATTTATGCCCGCGCGCGCCAACAATTTTGTAATAACAACAAACAATTGCCTATTTTATTCACAAGCTTTTCTGACGCTAATGAGCATTAAAATGCAACACTTTAATATAACAAAAAATATATGTGCTAGTATGAGGTGTGTCAAAGCAACAAACAACCCGACACTCGACACAAGAACCATCTTACAAGTTTTGCAACACAATGCAAATAAATGCTACATATTTTAGAACTAACTAACAACTACAACAAGAACAGCTTGCAACTTTTAACATTCAACACCAGCAATTTGCCATTGTGTAAATGCAACAAGTTATGGCAAAACATTGTTGCACGACATGAAAACTATGTTCGCGAGCGCCAACTTGGCATTCATTTTACGAAGAGCCACATTTACATATATGTATATATATGCACTATGCCACATGATAAATGTTCGAGAGTGAGAGAATCTGGAGCCACAAGCGAGCAGCGAAAGCTTTTAAATCGTGAAATTTTTTTGTTTATATTTTTCTTATACTTGGAAAGACTGTTGGGCAGCTGATGCTGTGCCGCTGTGACACTTTGCTAAAGAACTGAAACCGCAAGCAAGACACGTATTCACATACTTTTGGAAGAGTATTTACAAATGTCTCTCGCACTCCTTTACTCTCATATTTTCATGTCTTGCAAGCGACGCTTAGTAACAATTTATTATGTCAACATAATAAATATCTCCAAATATTGTTGTTGTCATTTAATGGATTGGCTCTCAAGCCGGTGAGGTGCTAAATTAAAATGGGTTTGAAATTTTTTTGGATTTGTTATTACTACTATTCCACATAAGTTTTATCACAAAAAATAGTAGCATTGAAATCCCATCTTTTTGAAAATTATTTTAAATTAGAGTTTAATAATAATATCATTTATACCATTTATTTTCTAAGCGCTAAGCATTTTCCAGGTCACTGGGACATCGATGGAAATTGTAAAATTAGGCAAGGTACGACCAAGCAGATTATTCTCGTAAGCATTGGTATGCCTGCTTTTCAAAGTATTTACATATGTGCGAGCCGCAGTAAGATTGAATGATGCTACAACCTGCCGCAAATCCACGTATACCTGGCCGAAATGTGATAAGAAGAGGTCACGATATATGCACTCCTAAAAAAGAGCATGCAAGCATGGTCAAAGTAATAGGATTTCTAACAGACCATTGTCATTAATATGCGAAAAGACAAATGGCTCCCTGTAGAAGAGGCTGCAGAAGCTGCAAGGAGGTTGAGGAGGAGGAGACAATCACACATGTGAATGTCTTGCCTTCAGCATGGCTAGGTTTCGTAATTTTGGGCTCCTATTGCTGTATGATCTAACGAAGTTAGCCTACGTCAAACGGTTTATTAGGGTTTTTTGATAGCCTAATATTTTTCGCAATGAATCCGACTCTATAGATCGATTGCCTCCACATTTGGAGTCGTCAAGTAATTTTAATTTGTTGAAACCAAGAGTTACGGATATCAAATAGAGGATATATACTTTTTTTGTATACTTTAATGCAAAATTGTTTGCCATTTGAACTAGAATACTTTAAAAACAACAAGCATTCCAGAGACGAATTTGCTGCTTTTTGCACTTTGTGGAAGAGAAATGAACCACATTCTTAATTATTTTTACGTTGCTAGAATTAAAAATCAGCTATAGTTTGTAGGAGGGGGATAATTTTAGCTATTTTTACCTCTACCAATATTTAGTGTACATACACGTAGAATATCAAATTTCTTCTTCTTAGATGCTTTTTGACGAACTTATGACCCAAAAACTCAACTCTGCAAAATCGGTCGTACATATGCTATAGTAGTCCGATCCGACCAGTTCCAGCAAATGATCATTTAATTGTAGTTGTGCAACTGTGTACCTAGTTTTATTAAAATAATTTAAAAACCTAAGGACTAGCTTGCGTTCAAACAGACAGACAGACGGATTGACACACATACGGACATGGCGAATTCAACTGACCTCGACAACCTGATCTTATCCATAGAATTTTTGATGAGTTTCTCTCTTCTCCCTCTGTTACTTTCATACTTCTAACCAAAGTTAATCGACCATTTCATACCATGCGGCAACGTATAAAAAATGGGCTTAAGACCAAACGAATTTACAGAGGAAAATATTTAAATAAAATAATAAAATAATTTAAACATGCTTAAGAAGCTTTTTATACAGTTTTTTGAGAAATGTTGCTCCCTGTTAAAATATTGCTTAAAATTCAATATATTGAATTCGATACTAAATCTTATAGAAAAAATATTTTTAAATATCGTTGCTTGATG